GGAAAATGAGCAGAAGAAGTGATATGCAGTGTTTGAGAGTGGGACACAGCAGCTGTGGTAGGAGCCTGACTTTCTGTGCCCCCTGTCCCAGGGACGAAGGTCCGTCAAAGGACAAAGAGGACTGGACATGGGGTGGTCCCCAGGTGAGTGTGTCTGAAACAAGCCTCTGCCCACTGCCCTAAAGCATCTCTGAGGACCATGTCTGCTGGAGCAAGAATTCACCAGGAGTGGAGGAACCTGAGGGCTTGGATGACCTACATGGGGCCCGATTACACTGAGTTCCGAGTCCGTGATGTCATAGAAGTGTACCTGCTATGGTAATGAAAGGCCTTAGACAGAGGGCCTCAGAGGGACCCCGGTGTGGGCAGGAACATTTGGGTGCTGGTTTGGTTTGCCTGTACCCCATATTCTTGACCCTATTTAAACTAAACTAGTGTGATGTGATGAGGTTGGAGATAAGGACCTGGATGGGCATGACCGTGGAGGCCACAATCTGACCCTTCAGGTACCTCTCATCTACTTACATGGCAGAGTCACTGTCAGAGGTCGAAAGGGTGGGGACCAGAGGGATGTCTGAACCAGGGACAGTCATGTAAGGACACAGGAAGATGCCAGATTGCAGGAAGAGAGGCCTAGCACATGTGTGGCCATGCATGAAGATCTGCTCCTAACTCGGTCTGTCCATGATATTCTGTCATGAAACCTTTATTCTCTGTGTCACCTACCTACCCTTTAATGTACCAAATATTTGTCTCTCATCTGTCATCTGTCTACTTAGTATCTTTGTGTCTAGAATCCCTCAACTACCTACCTCCTACCTATATACCTATTCCCTACCTGTCATCCATCTCTCTCTCTCTCTCTCATCATCTATCTCTATCATCTATCTATCTATCTATCTATCTATCTATCTATCTATCTATCTATGTATCTATCAATCAATCATCTATCTTCTACCTATCTATCATCTATCTAATCTATGCTATAAACAATTGCAGAGAGAGGAGGAGGTCCCTTGGGTGATGTAGCTGCATGGACTATTTACTGGTGGTACCCATGTTCCTGTAAAGAATCCCAATAAACTAGGTGATTCACCAAGCTAGACTTAAGACAAAATCTTCTCTGGTCTGTGATAGACCTCTCTATCTGGGGTGAACTGAAATAGACTCCTCGGGAAAATCACCTACTACCAAGAAAAATGAAAACTTACATTCATGCAAAAACTAGTAAGCAGTGGTTTAATCACAATGTTTTTCACAATAAACAAATAGAAACCAACGTCTTTTTGGTGGGCAAACAATAAACAAAGTGTGGTACATCACAGACCTGAATACTACTCAGCATAAAATGAAAGGGACTATTACAACATGGGTAAATCTTAGATGGTGTACGCTGAGCCAATGAAGCCAGTTTCGAAAGGCTGCATGCTTCTGCAGGTGCACCTGGAAAGGCAGCTCTACACAGAAGACAGCCAGGGGCTGCTAGGGGCTGACAGCAGAGATGACAAAGGAGCCTGGGAAATATTTCAGACTGATGGAATGGTTCTGTATCTTGACTGTGGTGCTGGTGGTTACATACATTTGTCAAAATGCATAGAACTGAACACTAGTGAGTGTCACTGCATGCCTCATGTATATACACACACACACACACACACACACACACACACACACACGCTCATTAATGAAGATGAATTCTTTAAAAACACAAAGAAGAGGAATGGATAGGAGCAGTGTGACACCCACCCACTGGGGAGGACCCGTGGGTAGGTCACCAACCTCACCCTGTAAATCATGTTTTTGAATAATGAAATCTGGTTGTGATCTTGGTTAGGACTCTCAAAGCCTACCTTGGGAATTTTAAGATAGGGGAGAGGCACTTGGGTTGTACTCAGATCACTGTGGATACACAGCCAATCCTATCTTCCAAGGACTCCAAACATTTCCGTTCACCTCTTACCACAGTGATTGCTTTAGGCTTCAGCTGAGGAATGTTTCTTAAATGAGTAAGTGTTCTGACAAATGAAGAAAGATAAATTTGTGTTTGGCTGGTTTCTCTCTATCTGCATCATCTTCATTCTGTCCTGGAAGACAGAACTGAGGGACTCACATGAAGAGGGCCCTTTCTCCCTGACCTTTCCCTCTGTATATCCATTATCATCGTACAAATATAACGAGAACTATGGTTCTTTTTTGAGGTTTTTTTTTTTTTTTTTTAACTCATCTTGGTGTATAATCTAATCCAAGTGGTATGATGGGATTTCTCAAATTTGTAGCCAGCTAGTTAGAAGTGAGGGTGGTGTGGGAGCCCCATTTGAGACTTGTGTCTGAAATAAGGGCAGTTTTATGGAGGAATGAGCCTTGAACCTGTAGAGTCTGATGGCGTGAGTGAGAGGTTAGTATCAGATCTGACTGTAGTCTACCTAGCTGGGGCAAGATGCACCCTGGGTGGATGTGAGAATCCTGAAGGCCAGGCCTTTCAGTCCTTCCTCAACACCACTGCAATCCTACATGTGGCTAGAAGGAACACCTACAACCTAAATAAGGATGCCACGAAATGCTGTCAGACAGAAACTGGTGGTTTTAAATAAGTTTAAAGGTTTTATAGAAATTTACTAATGAGCCAAAGTGATTAAAAAGAGTATGTGTTGGGGTTCAGAATCCATGTTTTCACTCTGCAAGTTCTTGGAAGTGATACTGTGAAGTCGCTCAACCTTTCTAAGCCACAATTCTCTTATCTATAAAACAAGAGCAGTTGGGGTCTGGAGAGATGGCTTAGTGGTTAAGAGCACCGACTGCTCTTGTAGAGGACCTGGGTTCCATTCCCAGCACCCACATGGAGAACAACCATCTGTAACTCCAGTTCCAGGGGAATCTGATACCCTCTTCTGAACTCCAAGGCATTGCATGACATAGGTGCACTTACGTATGCAGGCAATATACTCATACACATAAAATAAAAATAATAAATACAATTAAAAACAAAACAAAAACAAATGTTGAGAGCAACCTGACCTATTCCTAAGGGCTGTGGGGGTAACATAAAATGATGTGTACAAAGACATTTGGTGCGTAGTAAATGATAACTCCTTTTATGATTCATGCATTCGAGTATATTTTCATTAAGGCCTAATTAATAGGTTATTGAACACTAGAAAAACAATGCTGTAAACCTGTAGATGTGTTGGTACCTGTAATCCTAGCACCATGGAGGCGGAGGCAGGAAGATACTGAGTTCAAGGGCAACCTGAGCCACATGGCAAAACTTTTCAAAAAAGAATCAAAAAACAAAAACCAAAAACAAAACAACCCAACAACCCAAAACCGAAAAGGGCTTAGGGAGATGGCCCAGTGGGTAAAGTGCTTACTAAACATGTAGATGTGTTGGTACCTGTAATCCTAGCACCATGGAGGCGGAGGCAGGAAGATACTGAGTTCAAGGGCAACCTGAGCCACATGGCAAAACTTTTCAAAAAAGAATCAAAAAACAAAAACCAAAAACAAAACAACCCAACAACCCAAAACCGAAAAGGGCTTAGGGAGATGGCCCAGTGGGTAAAGTGCTTACTAAACAAGCATAAGGACTTGAGTTGGGTTCCCCAGAAGCCATATAAAGTCAATACTATGCATTTGTAACCTCAGGCAGGTAGATCTGGAAGCTTTATGGGCAAACAGGGAGCTCCAGGTTTACAGTATTTTTTAAATTTATTATTTTTATTTTATGTGTATGAGCATTTTGTCTGCATGTATGTAAATGCACCACATGCATGCAATGCCTGCAGAGGCCAGAAGAGGGTGTTAGATCCCCTGGAACTGGAGTTATGGATGGTTGTTAGCTGCCATGTGGGTGCTGGAAATTGACTCCCGGTCCTCTGGAAGAGCAGCAAGTGTTCTTAACCACTAAGCCACCTCTCCAGCTCCATCCATGTTTACTGAGAGAGAGACTGTCTCAAAACAATAAGGTGGTAAATGATGGAGGAAGACACCTAATGTCAACCTCTGGCCTTTACACATGGGCACACATGTGCATACCACACACACACACTACACTACACTATGATACAAATCATAGTTGCATTTAAATGACTGGCAAGAGTCCAGACTCAGAAAGTCATTTTGTGCTTTCAGAGTAGAAAAAGGATTCAGAGTTCGATAGTTGTTTTATTTCCCCCATACCTTGTTGGGATCCAGTTTGGTTTTGTCCACAGGAGTGGAGTCTTTTATCACTTCCACAAATTCTGTACCAAAACACTGACCATAAAATCCCTGAAGAAAAGAAGCCATGTGTTTATAAAGTTCATTTTGAAAGAAAGAAACTCTTTGTCTTTTCAGAGGTGGAATGAGTTGGGAATAAGTTCAAGGCAGAATTTATTCATTGATTATGGACAGTCTCTCTGAGCTAAGTAGCAAACTTCAGCATTTCTAGAGACATAAATGAAAGTATAAGGAAGCCCAGCACTCTCAACTATCTAAGCCTCCCACAATATATGTGCTTGGTCTCGAATTCAACTAACATCATCATATTTCTAGATACCTCTTCAGGGGCATGACACTA